TATATCACCACAATGCAGCAACGTGGATTGCCCTGCCCTAGAAAATACCTAAGGCTCTGCCCCCTACAACTTAATAGATGTGCTGAGAGAAAAGTATATGCCCTAATGAAAGAATAGATCAAGGCTCCAAAAATAGAACTAAGCAATGAAGAAATAGCCAAGTTTTCAGATGCAGAGTTCAAGACACTGGTAATCAGGATACTCACAGAAATGGTTGAGTCACAACATAGAGAAAAAAATGGAGGCTATGCAAAGTGAAATAATGAAATATACAGGGAACCAACAGTAAAGAGAAGGAAACCCAGACTCAACTCAACAATTTGGAGAAGGAAGAAATAAACATCCAACCAGAACAGAATGCAGAAACAAGAATTCAAAAAAAATGAGGAGAGGCTTAGGAACCTCCAAGACAACTTTAAACATCCCAATATCCAAAACATTGGGTTCCAGAAGGAGAAGAGGAAGAGCAAGAAGTTAAAAACATATTTGAAAAAAATTGAAGAAGAACTTCCCCAATCTGGCAAAGGAAATAGACTTCCAGGAAGTCCAGGAAGCTCAGAGAGTCCCAAATAAGTTAGACCCAAGAAAGCACACACCAGGGCGCATCACCATTACATTACCCAAGGTAAAAGATAAGGATACAATCTTAAAAGCAGCAAGAGAAAAGGAGACAGTTACCTACAAAGAGTTCCCATAAGACCATCAGCTGATTTCCCAAAAGAAACCTTGCAAGCAAGAAGGGGTGGGAAAGAAGAATTCAAAATCATGAAAGGCAAGGACCTACATTCAAGATGACTCTACCCAGCAGAGCTATCATTTAGAATGGAAGGGCAGATAAAGTGCTTCCCAGATAAGGTCAAGTTAAAGGAGTTCATCATCACCAAGCCATTATTATATATTAAAGGAACTTATTAAGTACAAGCAGGTGATCAAAAATATGAAGAGTAAAATGACAACAAATGGACAACTATCAACAACCAAACATAAAAATAAAACCAAAAGCAAACTAAGCAAACAACTAAAATAGGAATAGAATCACAGGAATGGAGATCACATGGAGGGTTATCGGTGGGGAGGGTTTGGGGGTAGGACAGGGGAAAAAGGTACAGGGGATAAGAAGCATAAATAGTAGGTACAAAATAGACAGGGGGAGGTTAAGAATAGTATTGGAAATGGAGAAGCCAAAGAACGTATATATACAACCCATGGGCATGAAGTAAAGGGGGGGGCAGTTCTGTTGGGAGGTGGGTGCAGAGTGGAAAGGAATTAGGGGAGAAAAAATGGGACAACTTCATAGCATAATCAATAAAATATATATATTTTTAAAAGATAGACATCCCAGCTCAAGCTAAAAGAGCAAATTCCATTCTTCCTCTGAACTTTTGGTTTTATTCAGGACCCCAGTGGATTGGATGATGCTGCCCACATTGGTGAGGTGGATCTCTGTTATCTCGTTGCCCAGCTTACCAATTCAAGTGCTAATGGGAAATTCTCCCACAGACACACCCAGAAATAGTGTTTTACAAACAATCTAGACCCTTAGGCTACTCAGGTTGACAGGTAAAATTAACTACCACACCAGAGTATAGGTCTTTTGCCTATGGGCCATTCCAAAGGTCCCTGAGAACAACTGACAGGGTAATGGGCATGTGAGTCAATAAACCATGTTCTTGAAATGCTAGTATACAAGAGAATGTGATTACCTCACATTATGCAAAAGCAACAAAGATAGAAAGAATTAAAAGCTCCCAAGAAAACAAAATCCTGTACCATAAAGACATGATCCAAATAGGAAGCAAAATAAAGCAAGAATGATTTAAGGAGTACAGGAAAAGAGAATAAATTAGACTTTGAATTTGAGAGCATTATTCTTGGAGTAGTACAGATGTAGTGAGCATGAGCAAATCCTCACATGCTGTGTGATTCTATAGTGATGAACACTTGCATAATAATGTAAACTCTGGTGGTCTGTATTTCAATATCTAGATTCAATCTAGACAAAAGATAAAAGCTATAGTCATTATTATATAACAGACAATAAATGGAGTCAGTCTTGACACTTTAAATACAAAGATATTCCTGATTATATTAGTTAGAATTAATTTTTTTTGAAAATATTTTCTTTATTTATTTTTCGAGAGAGGGGAAGGGAAGGAGAAAGAGAGGGAGAGAAACATCAATGCGTGGTTGCCTCTCATGTGTCCCCTGCCGGGAACTGGCCTGCAGCCCAGGCATGTGCCCTGACTGGGAACCGAACCGCGATACTCTGGTTCGCAGGCCCGCACTCAATCCACTGAGCTTTGCCAGCCAGGGCTAATTTTATGGCAGTTAACAAATAAACTCCAAATAACAAAATAGAATTATATTTTTCAGTTACACAAAAGATATCTGGCCCTGGTTGGTATAGCTCAGCAGATTGAACATGGGCCTGCAAACCAAAGGCTTGCTGGTTTGGTTCCCAGTCAGGGCACATGCCTGGGATGTGGGCTGGGTCCCCAGTGGTGGGGGGTGAGAGGCAACCACACATTGATTGTTCTTTCCCTTTCATTCTCCTTCCCTTGCCCACTCTCTAAAAATAATTAAATACACAAATAAATTATTTAAAAAAGACATCTGTGTGTAAACCATCCAGAGCTCTCATGGCAGCTTCATGAAATCACAATAGCTCACATGAAATCTACCTATACTTCACCATCCCTAGGACGTATGCCACATCTGCCTGGTCCAAAAGGGCAGCCAAAGCATTAGCCATCACACCTAAATTTTAAGCAGTAGAATAAAGGTGAAATGACAGCCAAGCCTCCTAGGTGCCATACAACTCTGCAAATTACATGTCATCAACCAGAAAAGTAATATGCCACAGCTAAATGTGAGAGAATGTGGCCATGTGTGACATTAGAAGTGCAAAGCTGACAGTACCTTGCTGTGTACAAAGAAGGACTTAAGGAAAGATGATTAAGAGAACTGCTATACTCACCCAAAAAAGCAGAAAGAGGTGGCATGCTCTATCATTAATAGAACAGGAAGTAGAAAAGTAAGTACTTATTTAAAGTTATAAAAGTTATCATTGGAACCAAACATAATGAAATTAACTCACAAAGAGTCTACTTTGTGAGTTTTCTTATAATAAAGTCATTAGAAACTGTCTAAAGTTGATGAATCAGGCAACTGAATCACAAGTTCATTATTAAGAATTATAGAGATAATAGTCAAAGAAACAAAAAGTAGAAACAGTAGCAAGTGTTTGTCCTAGAGACATGAATTAGGAGGTGGAGTGGGAAGGTAGGACAAGAAGCAGTAGCTTTGCCTTATAAACTCTTTAATAGTAAATGATAACTAGAACAGACTAAAAAATGTAAATTAAAGATAGATTTGCCTGCACTTACAGTGGAGGAAAGGAGTTACTAGCAACTAGACTGAATCACCTGGCCATTCCCTGACAGCTGCCCTTCTTCACTCTCTAGAAAGCCAGGCCCTCCAAAGATTCTGGAGGGTGAAGCTAGAAGGCCTGGGACTCTATTGTCATCCTGAGCCAATCCTTCCACTCAGGCATCATTTTTGTCATTTTTTCCCTACCCGGAAATCATCCCTGGGCCAAAGTTCAAAATGCCAAATACTTGACCAAAGCACTAACGAAACAGCAATTTGAGATAGCACATTAGAGATTCTCAGTAGCGCCAAAAGTGTAAGTGCTGCTGCTTCAGGGAGGCAAAGGAACATTTCATTTCTCAAGCACTTCTACGACTTGCTCATGAAAGAAAACAAACAAATAAGCCTTTCAGCACACCCACCTGTGAAAACACAAAAGCTATTATTGGACTGCAACATTTTCAAATTTTTGATCTAGGAACTGAGCATTTTCGTTTCATGATGAGAAAAGCCTAACCAGTCACAGGCAACAGCTCTTTTTCCAAAGTCTAACCCACACTCATGTGGCAGTTGCTTTGAATAGCAACTCAGAATCTAAGAGCAGGACAAGTTTGGACAGCTTCAAACATGAGAAATCTATACTCCATAGTTAGGTCTGAACTAAATTGCCAGGTAAGTGGAAAATGTTTGGTTTAATACTTTAAAATCCTGAGAGGCATAAGAATTCTGGGTGTGGATTTGGGGGCTCCTTTTTATCAGCAAAAACTAGGAAACTTTTACTTCAATGGCATTTCCTACCAGCCCTCACGCTCAAACACTTCTGAGCCCTGATCCCTGAGTTGAGGGCAGTGGTTCTCTAAGTGTGGTACTTGGACCAGCAGCTCTAGCATGCCCTGGGAATTGGTTAGAAGTGCAAACCCTGGCCTCAACCCATCCTACTGTGGCAAAACTCTGCAACTAAGGCTCTGGCACTTGTGAGTAAAAAGCCTTCCAGAGAGTTATGATACTCCCTGGAGTTTGGGAACTTTGGTTTATAATTTGTTAGTATTATATGTGTTTGGGTTTATTAATGCCTGTCACTGAAACAGGCCTGATAACTGAAGTACTGACCCTGCAAGGGACCAGGAGAACCCCTCTAGAGATTCACCAAGAGTTTCAGTGTTGAGAGAAAGTCGTATCTTCTTGATCACTGCTTAGGCTGGGTTCCCCCAAGAACAGGCCCTGAGACAATCATTTAAGAGCAAGCAGGTGATCCTAAGACATACCTATTGGGGCATGAGAAAGAGCCAGCACAAGGTGTATCTATGGGTAGGCTGACACTGTGGTCAACTAGGGCCAGTCCTTGGGAAGCTCCAGATGTGTCACCTAGAGCACAGAAGCTGAGATATTTATCCTCCATTCCCATGTATCATTATTGAGGGTAGCTCTTGGGTATTGACTCCAGCTATCCTGACCTGCCCAGCCCTGGCTGAGGCTGGAGTCTATGGCCAGAGGACCCTTATCCAGGAAGGAGAGTGGAAGGCACTCCACCATCTACCCCAGGGAGCTCCCTCAGAATTCCAGGGTAACAAAAATTATTCTACATTACTTATGAGTTCCCAAGATTCCATGTTCCTTATTCAGTTCCTTACCATTGATTAAGGCATCTCAAGTCCCATCTTCCCTGGACTCTTCAGTGTCTCCAGATTGGGTGTTGCCTCTCCACTCAGTGCAGCCCTAGAATCAATTAATCAGTCAAATATCTCTGTGACTCTGGGCCTTTCATGCCCTGCCCTCAAGTGGGAGACACTTTTCCCAGAGATGAACACTGAGTAGGCAGAAAGACATGGGTGCTATAAATGGGCACAAGTGTTCCAGAGCCATCCTAGAGGGTATGAAGTGGGACCTTGGGGCTTTCATTTGCATTCCTAGGTAAGGCTCTTTTACAAGGCCATGGTTCCCTGAGTATCTTAAGTTGATTGGCATTATCCCCTTGGTTTTAAGATCAGCTCACTGAGGGTAGGGGTCAAGAGACACCTTACTATTTCAAGTGTGGCCTGCTGGATCATCCATGGTTTAAGGAGATACACATAGGTGTTAGTGCCTGGTACCTCTCACCCCACCCCACCCCCAGATCTGCAGTGGACTCACATGGTTGGGTATCTAATGGTGATAATCCTGGCACCAGCCACCTCACAGGCCACACCCAACCTCACCAAGGAGTGGCCTGTAAAAGATACTTAGTGTACAGGCCATCCAAGGACACCTGTGTCCATCAGTTACAATGCTTGCCACTTTCAACATTACCTTGCCCACCCATGCATCTGGAACCTCTTACTTCAATGAGTTCCAACTGATTTTCAAATGCCTGCATGCTTTTTGCAGCCATGTAAAATGAAAATCTCTTGGCCCCACTTGTCGGCAGTCCAGAAGTACCAGAAAATGATACCCTTCCTGCTCTCTCAGTTGTGTAAATGTTCCAGGTCCCCCTTCCCAACCTTTTCAGCCCTTCAGGTGGGATCTTTACGTGCTGTTGAGCTGTGCTTTTTGCAGTATTTTTAGGCTACTACTGCCCACAGTGGAAGCTGGTTGAGTAATCTACTAATATTCTATTCCAACATCAATTTAAATTGGTGGGCTTTTGCCCCACACCAAGCAATTCTCAGATACCAGCTGGGTGTTCTGTAATTTTACTCAATTTTGACACTATCTATCTGGAGATAACATCAGATCCCAGAGGTTAAGAGATCAGTTACACAAGACTGTCTCCACTTCAAATGACAAGCACAAGTCCAAGTTATCACTTGTGCTTCTAGCCTACTAGCTATATATCAGGGTTTTCATGGTTCCCTCCTTTTATTTGATTAATTTGCTAGGACAGCTTAAAACTCAGAGAAACATTTTACTTACTAGATTAACAGTTTATTATAAAAAATACAACTCAAGAACAGCCAGGTGAGAGACACACAGGGCAAGGGAAGGGGAAGGGGCGCAGAGCTTCCATGCTCTCTGCTGGCACATCGCTCTCCTGGAACGTTTGTGTGTTTCCCAAACCAGAAGCCCTCCAAACCCTGTGTTTTAAGGTTTTATGGAGGTTTCATTACTTAGGCATGATTAGCTAAATCCTTGGCTTTTGGTGATTGAACTCAACTTCCAGTTCCTCTCCCTTCCCTGGGAGGTGCAGGGTTAGAACTCAAAAGTTTTAGCCCTCATATCACAGGGTTGAGTCTCCAGAAAAACTGCCTCCAACCTTACAGTGCTCTCAAAAGTCATCTCATTAACATAACAAAAGATACCATTATCTCTCCCATCACTTAGAAAATTCTAGCATTTTAGGATTTCTATTCCAAAAAGGGTGATAAAGACCAAATCTATATTTCTTAAGATAAATCACAGTATGACATCCACTCTCCCTGTCTCAATTCCCCACTTTGGTAAGTGCCCTTGCACTTACCAAATCAACAACTTGCACTGAATCCCTGCTGTAGGTCCCCTTCTTGGAGAATACCAACTAAGCTTACCATACTGGATAATTCATACACAATAATTCATGCAACCTGCTTAAAAACTGGTTCTGGCTGTAGATAAACAAATTGACACCCCCACCCCCCACCCCCACTGGAGGAAAGTCACAAAAATCTAAATTCAGGATTGATTCCAAAAAAACTGACACATAGCCTTATTCAAACTCATAAGAGCTTTAATAGTAGAAACTTACAAACATGGACAAAGAGGCTCCTCTCAGTGCTGGCCAGTTGGGAAGAATCCACTGCCCCCACTCCAGCCCACAGGACAGGGTCTCTTTTTTATGGGGATTTAATAGTAAAACAATATGGTGGGTAGCCTGGTAGACCACTGGAAAGAACAGTTCATTCCTAAGATAACAGATAACACCAAGCAGTTACCATTCTCTATAGATTCATTAACCTCCTTCCTGGAGGCATGACATTTATCTTTGGGCAGCATTTGGGTTTTCAGGGTAGTAAGCCAAGCCTGAGGCTACAGAGAGTTAAAAGTCCAATATTTCTGAAATGCCTTTGCTGCTAGAGCCATATTGCACCTCAGTAATTTACCCTATACCTCCTCAAGTGCAGTCTTATAATTCAGAGATCAGGAGGGAGCCAGTCTCAGGACTATGCTGAGTTCTTCAAGGTAGTACCACCTTTAAGGCCTGAGGTAAAGAGGGTACTGTCTTCAGAGTTCCTTCAGTGACAAGCAGCAAGCCCAGTTCATACAGAATTCATAAAGTTCAAAGGGACACATCATTAGCTAGAGGATGTGTCTCAGAAGTTATATAGCATCATTTCTTCTTAACTCTGTAAAGGGCTGCCTCATGTGGTCACATAGGCCCCACTGAGCCAATGGAAAGGACCTTACACTGCCTCTTGATGGGGTGCAAAGCAAGGTTCTGGATGAGCATGTGGGACTAAAATATTTTTGTGGCCATTTTTGGAAAATATAATCTACCACAATAAGGAATGAGAAACCAATAGAGATCAAGACAACCATTCTCTATAGCTCATGAGTGAGTGTGTATGCATGTGTGTGCCTTACTCTAGCTCTCCCTGTACTCTCTCCCTCTCAGCTTTTCTCCTCTAGTTCATTAGCTCCTCTCTGTGCTCATAGCTATACCTCACCTCTTAAGATTATGGGCCTCAGTTCTTCCTGCCTTCCCAGAATCTCCCCAAAAGTCAGGGTGCCTGAAATTCCAGCCAAGATGGAGGCATAGGCAGACATACTATGCCTCCTCACACAACCAAAATAAGAACAACAACAATTTAGAAACAAAATAACAACCAGAACTGACAGAAAATTGAACTGTATGGAAGTTGGACAGCAACGGAGATAAAATAGACACATTCATCTAGACTGGGAAGTGGGGCGGAGTTAAGCAGCAGGACAAAGAGGGGTTGTGGCACAGAAAGTAGTGGCACTGGGTGCAAAAGGCACCTTGGGCATGCACAATGGCAGCTGATAGACACTGGGCACACAGGCGGTGGCTGGCAGAACCCGGGAACAAACGGTGGTAATTGGCAGACCCAGCGAGGCAGCAATTATGAAATGAGGCACTGCATGCAAGGTGTCTGGCCAGGTGGTCCCACATTCGAGCACAGGTGAAACTGGGGAGTCAGACAGACCAAACAAGCCAGGGCCCCAGTACATAGAAATAAAGTCTCAAAATACCAATTGAAAAAAACTGTGGGGGTTGAGGCTCAGGGAGAGACTCCCAGCCTCACAGGAGAGTTGGCTGGAGACACCCACAGGGTTCTAGAACGTACACAAATCCACCCAAATAGGAATCAGCATCAGAAAGGCCCAGTTTGCTTAGGGGGAAGTGGCAGAGGGGACTGAGATCCAATAGAGAGCAGTGTAAGCACCACTGTTCCCTCTCAGACCGTGCTACCACATACAGCATCACATCCCAACAATGTGGGTTGCCCTGCCCTGGTGAACACCTAAGGCTCTGCCACTCATATGTAACAGGTCTGACAAGACAAAAAAAAATGGCCAAACGGAAGAACAGATCCAAGGTCCACAGAAAATACAACTAAGGGATGAACAGATAGCCAACCTATCAGATGCACAGGTCAAACCACTAGTGATCAGGATGCTTACAGAACTGGTTGAATTTGGTCACAAATTAGATGAAAAAATGAAGGCTATGCTAAGTGACATGAAGGAAAATGCACAGGGAACCAATAGTGATGGTTAGAAAACTGGGACTCAAATCAATGGAGTGGACCAGAAGGAAGAAAGAAACAACCAAACAGAAAAGAATGAAGAAACAAGAATTTTGAATAATGAGGAGTGGTTTTTAGGAACCTCCAGGACATCTTTAAACATTCCAACATCCAAATTATAGGGGTACCAGAAGAAGAACAGGAAGAGAAACAAGTGGAAAGCTTATTTGAACAAATAATAAAGGAGAATTTCCCCAATCTGGCAAAGGAAATAGACTTCCAGGAAGTCCAGGAAACTCAGAGTCCCAAAGAAGTTGGACCCAAGAAGGAACACAACAAGGCACATCATAACTACATTACCTAATATAAAAATGAAGGACAGAATCCTAGAAACAGCAGGAGATAAAGAGACAGTAACCTACAAAACAGTTCCCATCAGACTGTCAGCTGATTTCTCAGAAGAGACCTTACAGGCAAGAAGGGGCTGGAAAGAAGTATTCCAAGTCATGAAATCCAAAGATCTACATCCAAGACTGCTCTATCCAGCAAAGCTTTCATTTATAATGGAAGGACAGATAAAGTGCTTCTCAGATAAGGTCAAGTTAAAGGAGTTCATCATCACCAAGCCCTTATTATATGAAAAGTTAAAGGGACTTATCTAAAAAAGAAAACGAGATAAAAAACACGTATAGTAAAATGACAGCAAGCTCACAATTATTAACCACCACACCTAAAACAAAAATAAAAGCAAATTAAGCAAACAACTGGAACAGGAACAGAACCACAGAAATAGAGATCACATGGAGGGGTAGCAAGAGGGGAGTGGGAGGAGGAGAGAGAGGGAAAAGATACAGAGAATAAATAGCATACATGGTAGGCAGAAAACAGACAGGGGGAGGGCAAGAATAGTATGGGAAATATAGAAGCTAAAGAACTTATGGCACAGGGACATTAACTAAAGGGAGGAATGTGGGTGGGAGAGGGTGAGCAGGGTAGAGGGAACGAAGGGGGAAATGGTACAACTGTAATAGCATAATAAAATATAATTTTTAAAAA